ACGAGCTTGTTCGCTACTCTGTGTTTTCTTGCAATGTGTAATGATGGTATATTCGGACAGAGAAAAGTTTTCGATTACATTCAAATATTTTGATTAATTGACTTATTTACCGTGCATTGAATGAAAAGAGATAAGCAGTCTAGGATAAGTGAGCTCAACTTAATAAGCTCTCTTATGGAACTGGAATCATTCGTGGAAAAGAATGAATTTCCATGCCGCTTGCATAAAATGTTTTCCACATCTGAACTGTAGCTTTCGAACAACTACAAGTTTTATCACGACACTCCGTTTCGTGTAAATTCAAACGGTGATAGAAGAGAACTGAGAACATGGAAGTGGGAGATAAAATAAGGATTGACGACACTTTACTCATAGCCATCCATATACAAGAATGGTATTGGTAACTGAAATGTATTTATGGAATGAGATTACATGTTGCACGAGTTTGATCAGCACCTGTCTATTCATCTATTCATCATACACATTCGGTAAACGTGTGTGTATTGCAACTATTTCCCCTGATGCTGTGCAACTATGGTCAAAATTGCCCGATCCAGTCAGTCTGGTGTTCAAGCATACTGCGGATTCATTTGAACGGTGCGCGCTTCGAACGCGCGTTCTCAGTAGGTGCGCGCACACACACACACACACACACTGAGAAGGATATCGTTTAGTCGCGTTCGGACATATAATCTAATTTCAACTAAATTCTGTCGTCGATCGTGGCTGGAGAAATCGCACCCGATGGGACGTCAGCTACATCAATCAATTGCAACTGGGATTCAGCTCCTGGAAAAATCTTTCCATATATACATATATATATGTTATTGTCGCAACGCCATATCGACGAAGTTCGAATGTTTGACTGGAAAACCATATAAACTGCCGACCAATTCCCTCGTTTAATCCTATTTTCCACCCACATTGTTCTACCTGTGTGGAAGCAATCGGGCGATGAATCATCCAACCGGAGAGGGGGAGTGGGTGCGTCCGCCTACACCGTGGATTTTATTCCACGCTCGCACAAATACACACCCACACCCACATGCCTGTAATGACTGCGCGTCAGCTGAAAATAGGGGATAGCGCCTCGTCACAATATTCTTATTATTATTTCAAGGAAGTTCGTTGACACGAGTTAGCACCAAATAATCAGGAAGAGGGTTCAAAAGCATTGTTCTGTGGCCTAAATACTTCAATACCTCAGAAATCGCGACATAACCCGAGCAGTAAATATAGGACTTACAGGTAGGGACGCTATTTAACCGAGGTGTACGGGACGCAACTGATGAGTAGCCTTGTAAATCCAAAAACATTGGTTTACCTAATCATATACTACTATTTAATAATGTATTTACTGTGTGGTCAGAATAACCAGATTATTTTGCGATGCTAAATTCCGCGTATATATATATATATATATACATATATATATATATATATA